GCTTTCAATTATGTAATTAAAGAGACATGGAACTTATCTTCTGTTTGGAAATCACATTTGCCTTAAATGATAAATGAAATAAATTAAGTTAGAATTAAAACTATGAATTTACCTAATTAATTATTTATTTTATATCACCTTGGAATGGGAATATTCAAAAACTCGAAATTAATGTTTTTAGATTTGTGCGTCGACTTCCAATGTGGTACGATATTAATAACTATGTTTAAAAAAATTGCATTATGCAGGTTGTGTATCCTTAGATGAGTACTGTTCTCTTCTTGTTGATTTCTTTAGTTAGGTAAAATAATTATTGACACAAGTATTGCATATCATGGATGCCATTGGTAGTGCTCATATTTGTGATACAAGGTGTTCAAAAAAATTAATACAATGTAAAACTGCTGGAACCTCAAGGATTAGTTGAATACGAAATTTATTTAAAAAAAAACAACAAATCATCAATCAATACAGAGATAAGATAACGCGTTCGTTACACTGCTGTTGCAATTTTTGACTAACTTTTTTGTTTTTCGACATACTGACTTCGGACTTTTTCCATTCAACGCAGAACGGACAATCAGAACCAGAGGAGTGGGGAGATTTTTTAAATTATTTTTTCAATTCAATGCATCGTTTTCGAATTATAAGACCTTTTTTACTGTATCTCCTCAAACACTTCGTCTTTACGAAATTTATTTTCCACATACGGACTTCGGACCTTTTCCATTTAACTCAGAACTGACATACAGAACCAGGGGAATGGGGAGATTTTTTCAATTATTTTTTCGATTCAACACACCTTTCCGAGATATAAACACTTTTTTATCCCACCGTTGGTCCCGATTTTTTTTTGACATGCGGGTTTTGACGTTTTTCACTCGTTCACCATGGAAGATTTTTTGATACTTAGAGTAGAGTCCAAGCAAATACTGTTTCTTTTTCTTTCATATATTGTGACACCCCGCTCTGCGTCACCCACCTAGTGCTCTACTCAGAACGAAGGGGAAATTTGTTTATATTTCCAGCCATTTCCGTGTTACGAGCAAAAACCATTTTTTTTTCTTATACTGTGTGAGATCATAGATCTATAACGATGGCTAAAAAGGCCACGCGCTCTACCCCCCCGCTCCCTCCCTAGGTGTCCTGAAATTGCTGGGGAGACTCCTGAGAGAGAGAGAGAGAGAGAGAGAGAGAGAGAGAGAGAGAAAGAGAAGCCCTCTATGAGAACAGAGTCACTCTATCTATATCGCAAACTATAACTCTCTTTCTCGCACACAATCATACAAAAACGACAGAAACGAACCTTCTTTTAAAAATACATGGGATTTATCATTATTAGAATAACCCATTTTAATTTAAAAAATTTAAAAAAATACAATGGGTTATTCTGATGACGAAAAATAAAACATAATTAACTGTATTATTCAAATAACAATAATGTGCAAAAGTTCTTCAGGAATATTGGCAAATTTATTTTGGAGGAAGAATCCCGTCAACGAACACTAAAAAATATTATTAGAAACCTTAGGTGGCCAGAAAACAGCCCCGATCTCATTGTCAGTCCTTTAGACATATTTTTTTTACCTGAAAATTAGATCGGGGCTGTTTTCTG